TTTCATAAATTTTTATTAACAATATTCTATATTCAGAATTTAGTGAAAAAAAGTTTAGTAATAGACACAAAAAATAAATATCATGAAAAATAAAAATTTGAAATAAAATTAAGAAGTGAGTAATAAAAAATAAAACAAATAAAAAAACATGTTTTTTTTATGTAAAACTAGATTTTGATGTAGGTCAATATAAATGATATTTACCTAATTTTATTTACAACTTCTGTCCATCTAATAAATTCAATCTAGGTAGTTTTAAATATAGGTGAAAGAAAAGATTGTTGTGAAAAGTTCCCACACAACAACAATTCTCTCAATTTATTTAAGATTAGAATCATCTTGTCTAATGACCCGATTTTTCTTTTTTTGCTTCAAACCGTTGGATTTCTTTTTGCCTATTTATTTTACTTTCCACATTTATTTTTGGAATTTGTTTAAAAAATAAACAAATAAAAAGAGAGCGATCAATATTCAGAGTATTATCACACGCCGACATATAAATGAACTTTTTATAAACTGCAATTACATGAAAGAAGTTTCATTTGGTACTTTTTTATTAACAACTATATTACATTATATTATAACCGTCGTTGAACAGTCAACCGAATATTCAGTTTATGGCTACCAATGTTCAACTCCGTAGCCTTGTAATTTTGGATCCAATCCAGAAAGCAATGGAACTCCTGGATCAAGTATTGGGAGATATCTGCCTTCGTGGAGGAGTTTTTGATGGAACTAACACGCATTTTTGTTACATGGAGAGAAAAACCACGAAAACCTCCTATGGTTAGCCTGACGGCAAGGGAACTCTAACGCAGGATCCGTCTACCACTGTAGATAAATCATGTCAGCACTGTGGTCGGCGCGAGCCGGGTGCGGAGTTTGAATCAATCAGTCATCGTCGGGATTCGACCCCGGTTCTCGTCATTGAGAGGCGAGTGAGCCACTATGGCACTTTTATTAATAACTGTCACACCTGAAGCTGCAATTCCTACAATATTTTATTCAGTCGAGAAATAACAATTAAACAAGGAAATGTTTCTAAATTTTGACAGCACTTGAAAACAACACAGCATCATGTTTATCAAATCTTTAAATTTATTCTGCCCTCCAATAATTAAGATATAGTGCACACATGCATAAGAGAAAAAGAAAAAAAAAGACACCCTCTATAAATTATGATCTTCTGAATCGACCAAGTATTGTATTTAAAATTCGATTTTTTCTCAGGGACTATTTGACTGATTTAATTCAAATTTCGCATTTTGCAATATAAAGTTACATTTCTTAAAATGTGTATAGAAAAATAAACATTCCTTAAAATCTCTTGTATATCATATAATTCAAAATTTTTCCACTATTATTGAATAAAGTAATAAATAATTGCTAAAAATAATTTTTTGAATAGAATAATCTTTGAATGAAAGCATTATATAATTGTGAGCAAAAAGTTTAAAAAGTTCTAGGGATGTGGGAAAGTACGTCAAGGAAAATTCTAATGATGTTTTCATCCTTAATTTTCACAAATTTAACGAACTTTGTTTGGCAGTATCTTTTGTTAGATGTAAAATAAGCCACCGAATCGCAATTTGAGATATGAAATGTGCGGTAATTTAGATTCTTATTAACTTTTTCCGACTAAATTATAATACAATTCTCCAATATACAGTTTTTGATAGATAGTCAAATAGTTGCCCATTTTAAGATTTTTGATAACTGTATTTGTTTTAATGCAATTAACGTTAAGAGAATTTTTTAGCGTCACTCAAATAGGTTTTCATTAATTCAAACTGAAACAAAATTAGATTTTAAAACTAAAAACTTAGGTACGTGTAGTTTTGAATTAGTTACTCAAAACCACAAATTGTATCATTTTGCTGCTTTAAAATTTTTAAGAAAAATTCCTACATGTTCTAAAAAATTATTTGGCTCCTTTTCTCCTTGTCTAATAAAGTGACTCCAGCCGGTGGCGTCAACGTGCCTGACTGTGAAGCTAATGGTTGCGGGTTCGAATCCCGCTCAGGGCTTGGATTTTTCTCTGGGTGTTGTTCTCTGTTGTGTGTTTATGTGGCCCACCTTATAAACGAGTATTTGTGGCAATGTGTCGTGGGTGCCTCCGTGACTTAGGTTCACAGGTGTCCACTGAGTAACATTAAATGAGCAACGGTTCATTAGCTGTTCTTGTTGCCAATTAAATTACTGAACCCCAAAAACCTGTCTATTTGCAGCTCATACAACGCCGTGGACAAGTCATGATAAGTAATGAATAGAAATATGATAAGTAATGAATATATTATAATAGAAAATGAGCTTTCATTTAATTTATTTATGGAAAAAAAGTGCAAGGACACGCAAATGTATCCGGCCTGAATAGTCTTGTTTTTGTTTGATAACAATAAAAAATTTTTTTAAAAAAACAACCTTATGTTATCAATACAGCCCAGAATTCATCTTTTAAAAGATTTGTGTATCTTTTAAAGTTATATGTATAAATAGCCGAAAACTGAAAGAAATATTATTTACGCTCACTGTATAAAGGCGACTAGGTAACCAAAAAGATCACAATTATCGCGCCATTGTATTTCAAAACTCAAATAAAATAGCATACCGTTGAAGTTTGATCATTATTTTGTTGCAATATAAGTATATTTTGGAGAAATTTAAAAAAATAAAAAATACTTTATTCAGAAGAAATTTGATACTTTTGGAAACTCTTAAACTTGTATCTGAAAATATCAGTCCTAGAGATTTATGCAAGAAAGTAAATGGTAATGGTAAACATGTGATAAAATATTGTTAATACTGTTTGTTTAGTTAAACGATTTAATTAAATTTAATTCATACAGAACGTAACCAAAAACCTTTGCTTTTGGAAATACTTTGCCCATGTGACATCATTATTTGTTTGTTGTTTGTTTGTTTGACATTTGTTAAATTTCCTGTACTTATTTTTATCTATTTTTAAAAAAATGAAAAGATAAACAAGCATACAGTAACTTTTATTTTCCTTATTATTATTTCCTGTTTTGCCTGATAATTTTTCACTACACGGTGTGTAAAATTAATTACAATTATTTCAAAATATTTATGTTCATTAATAATAAAAGTTTCCAAAAGAACGTTTTAAAACAATAAAAAAGAAAATTTGTTTTATTTTAGTCTTTGGAAACTGAAATTAATCTAAACAACATTCTTAAAAAACGAAAGAAAATTTGGCGGCTTTTCTTTCACGTAATACAAAACCTTTCTCAAAATGTAATCGAAAATTGTTTTGTTTGACATCAAAATTTTAAATTACTCTTGGTATCATTCCCTTGTTTAACTCGTGAAAATCCGAAAAATAAAATCGTTTCACTTAGTTGTATTTCATTGCGTACTGTACTGTTAACGTATTATTTTGTGTTTAGTAATTCCACTTATCCATTCGTTGCTTTTGGAAACATTAAGACAAACTTATTGTAATTTAATATTATTATTGTAATAAATATATATCGATTTCAACATTATTTTATGCCTTTAGGTCATCCTAAATTTCTTCATGCTACAACTTAACATTTTAAAAATCAGGGAGAGAAAAGTTTTACTCCGGCTAGTATCCTGAAATTTCATGACCTGGTTTAAAATTAAATGATTATTACTTCTCACAATATTTGTACAATTATTTGTACAAATATTATGTCTCCGTCTTGTATAATGTCTCCGTCTTGTGATCTCAAATATATTAGCCTTTTTTTCAGTCATTAATATTGAATTGAATTGTGAAATAATATTGAATTGAGCTTGCTGTTATATCGATATTTCTTAAACATCTTGCTTGCTAAAAGCCTTAATTTATTCCAACAATTCATTTCATCGATAAATATCGAATCGATATTTAGCTTTTGCGATATTATACACAACGATATTCTTCAAATACGATAAATCACGAATTTTAGCTATATTTATCGAAAGTGATCGATAAATATCAAACGCAATTGTTATTATCGCAACGATTGATATCGAATACAATAAGGCGATCATTATCGATGTTAAGAATTATTGGATACAATAATTCTTAACATGGACCACTGACTGAAATAATATTGAATTGAGCTGGCTGTTGAATTGATATTTTTTAAACATCTTGATTGTTAAAAGCCTTAATTTATTCCAACAATTCCTTTCATCGATAAATATCGAATAAGCGATAGTTAGCTTTTGCGATATTATAGACAACGATATTCAACGAGTACGATAATATCACGAATTTTAGCTATATTTATCGAAAACGATCGATAAATATCAAACACAATTGTTATTATCGCAACGATTGATATCGAATACAATAAAACGATCATTATCGACGTTAAGAATTATCGGATACGATACTATCGAAAGGGTTGACAAATTTCATTCAAGTGATAGACCCATGTAAAAATAAAGTAAATTTGTTAAATTATTAGAAAGTATCAAAGAATGACAATATTTCTAAGCGATATTAAAAATCTGATATAACAGAAAGGTAGCCCAACCGAACCCATTTTAGGTCAAGCGTAGAAATTTTATAAAATATGGTGTTGTTTTAATTGAAATATGCTTGTATTAGATTCATTAAATCAGTGAACACACCATTTAGTTGAACGCTTACCATTCACTAAATCAGTGAACAAACCATTTAGTTGAACGCTTGTTTTCTTTGTGAAATTTTTTTTATTTATTTTTATTTCCTGATTTACGACTTTAATATATCATAAAAACGTATCAAAAAATTTCATTTGTCAATAACCGTTTTAAGTTAATAAGATAATGTAGTTGAAAAATTTCTCAACAGGAAGTGTTTATTCTAATTGAATTACTAATATTTTATAGATGTCTTCAGAACCCTTGACAATGGCAGAAAAATAAAATTAATTCAAATTATTCGTCACAATGTTAATAAAAAAATAATTATTAGGTCGAAAATTGGCAGGTTTAGATTGTTTATTCTTTCAAGATATGAAATAAATTGAGAAAAATTGTACCGCAGAAAGGTATTCCGATGGGTGTCCATGTACCATTGGTTGCACAAATTCGGCGGGCAGGTCCTAATAATTCGAATCCACTGTCGCAGGTGTAAGTTGCCACCGTTCCAGGGACAATGACCTCAGAGTTAAAAGCAATGCTGGAATGAGCAGGAGATCCGGGATAGCCGCAAGCACTCACTAGGTCATCAAAGAAACAAAAATCTTAGCTTTATTTTGTTGGTTAAAGAAAGAAAATAACATTGCATTCAGTATTTTAAAATCTCTTTTAATTGTCACAAAAAATCTTAGTAGATAAAGCTTTTAATGGATAATAGATTAGTAGATAATTCATTAATAGATAATTGATTAATAGATTAATTGATAATAAATTAATAGTTAATATATAAGTAGATAATAGATTGAAAGACAAAGATTTTAATCTCTGGAAATAACAGCTTTTAATAACGGCAGAAATCGCGATTTTTTGTTTAGAAACATGTAGTTTAAGCGAAAGTAAACTCATAACTGCGATGAAACATTTTTTTTAGAAAATTAATTTAACTAACTATTTTTAGTAATTTTTAATTATCACATTAAAAATACATTTTAATGTGATAATTACATTTACAATTACATTACAATATATTTTAATGTGATAATTTCGTCGGTTAAAGAAAGAAAATAACATTGCATTCAGTATTTTAAAATCTTTCTTAATTGTCACAAAATATTTTAACAGATAAAGCTTTTAATGGATAATAGATTAGTAGATAATTGATTAATAGATAATAGTTGAAGCTTTTAATCTCTGGAAATTACAGCTTTTAATAATGGCATAAATTGCGATTTTGGGTTGGAAGAATGTAGTTTAAACGAAAGTAAACTCATAACTGCAATGAAACATTTTTTTTCAAAATTAATTTGATCAAAAATTTCAGTAATTTTTAATTATTACATTAAAAATAAATTTAAATTTTTAGAGCTTCTTAGTATATTGCAGGATATTTTTATGCCGCATTTTTCCATATTTTGGCTATGAAACAAACACCATTAAACTGAAATAGTCAGATATTTATACGTCATACAACAGTTTTATTGTAAATAAAAATCCATTCAACTAGGGTAAATCCAATTACATTTTTAGTTAGACAATCGCTTTGTAGAGGTAGACAGAAAAAAAACCTAAAATATTATTTTACGTGTGGTAAATATTGTAAAATATTGTACCAAATGCTGTTCAAAATATTGAATGCTGGGACTCACACCGTAAAAAAATTTCGGATCAAAAAATACAGAATCTGATATATCGTATTTCTTATATTTACTGTAAAGTTATTGTAACAAAATAAATATTACTGTGAAAATAATAGCATAAAATGTTACGGTGAAAATAGATTTTACGAATGATGCACCCAGGGTAATAGTATTTTTCTCCGGATCGGAATAATTTTTTACAGTTCAGGGGAATAAACCATCTTGAGAATATAATTGTTAAAATATTACTTTTATTTAAAAAACAATTTACCAATATACTGTAAAATGCTTTTAAAAATATCAAAAATATTACTAGATCAAAACTATTCTTGATCAGAAGAATCACCTTTTGAAATAGATTTCTTTCTTTAAAAATCAACAAAACTGCTTCGTTTTGTATTGCATTAGGTTTTATTTTATTTTTTATAATTTTATAGTTAGGTCATTCAAATATTATTTCTATTTATAAATAGGTAGATAAGCCTAGAAATGGATTATAATATTTTTATTTCTGCTCTGATTCAACTCAAATAACTCTTCACTAAATTAGCATAAAATTAACCAGGATTGTTTCTAATGTTTATAGCAAATGAATCTTTATAACCGTCCATGAACGGCCAACCCAATTTTTGGCTTTACGACTGCTGATGTTCAACTCCGTAATATTGTACCGAATCCAGAAGACAAGGGAACTTCTGGATCAAGTTTTGGGAGAAATTTGCCTTCGTGGAGGACTTTTTGTTGGAACTAACCCGCATTTGCGTTACATGGAGAGGAACACCAGGAAGACTTTTCACGGTTAGCCGGACGGCAAGGGGACTCTAACCCATGATCCGTGTACCACTGAGGATATTTTACGTCAGCGCTGTGGTCGGTGCGAGCTGGGTGCTGAATTCGAATCGACCCACTATCGCTGGGATCAAACCCGAGTCACTTTATTGGGAGTCGAGCGCTCTATCCCCTGGCCACCACGGCAATGAATCTTTAGAATATCTAGTTGTAGCACTTTGCCATGGGTGAAAAGTGCACAAAATGTTGAAGATCTCCTACAGTGGTGGTTTCACGCCAGAAACAAACAGAAATAAGAATTTTTTAAGCAGGCATAGATTCGCATTTTACGAATTTTTTTTTGATTAATTATTTGCCTGCGTAATGTTCTGGATAAAAAGATCCAAAAGAGGCAAGAAGTAAACATTATTGATTATCGGAGAGGAATCAAAGAAGTGTTGAAAGGCGACTCATAAAAAAACTCATCAGGCAAACAAAGTCATTTGGCCAATTTTCATCTCATTTTCCTCACTAATGATTCAATCTCTCTCAATGGTGGTTTTGTAACTTCTTTCTTGATTTAGCGTCCCCTAATGCTTATTTTAAGATTAGTGATTATGAAACAACATTTATTGTATATTGTGGATAAATAGCATTCAGTGTTGTTTAAAAAAATTAAATAGTAGATCCAACGTTTTAAAACAATTTTTGGTAAAGTAAGAAGGCAAAAAGAGGAATACTCAATTTAAGGTGAACATTCTCTTTATAATGTATTTTTTAAAATTGAAGTGCTGGTTAAAACTGAAAACTATTCACCACTTGCGTTTAAACAAAGTTTGATGCCACTTTCATATTCATTAATCTATTTTTGTAAATTTCTTTCTCTATTTTATGGCTTATTGCATCATTCCTATAAAAACTTCGTAGGTCTTAACGCTTTCAACACACTATTCGAAACATATTATATTTCAATATATTTCAAACATTAACATATTTCAAAACATATTAGAAATAAAAAAGATTTGCTCATTAGATCTTCGCTTTGTTTGCAAAATTCAAATATTTAAATGTCTTTTTTTATAAAAAAAAAAAAAAAAACATGCTTTTCTAACTTCCCCGAAGGCAATTGAATAAATGAAATAGAAAAAAAAATTTGAAAAGTAAAAAGAAAAATAGATTAAAAGCATATTTATTAAAACACATTTCAAGTACAATCCTAAAAATTTAGTATAAAAGCTGAATATTAGAATGAGGCCTAAGCCCATAACATAATCTAAAATATATTTTTAAATTTAAAATATCTTAAAACTTTCTATCTTTTTCAGAAAATCATTTAAATTTTTTAACCAAAACAAAAAGGTATTATTCTAAATTACTTTTGTTCTAATGTTCAGATTTTAACGTAATACATGCAGATCTTGACGATTTGGAGGATTGACTTCAAATATGACTTCATTACACTTTCTGCGTTTTTCATTATATTTCGATAACTTTTATAGCGAATGAAAACCTTTTTCCAGCCAATTTATAATAATTCCATTTATAATCTAATTGTTTAGAATTTTAATTTAAATAATGGCTGAAAAACTCTATATTCTAAGAATTTTTTTTCCACATAATTTCATTAAACTGTATAATTTTGAGTGAAAAAAAAATGAATGAAAACGATTGAGCAGTTCTTGAGAAAAAAAAATATGACAGTTTTGAAAATTTGAACATAGAATTTCTTCGGATGACTCCGAGTTTTGTCATTTATAATTCCATAATTTTAAATCATAAAAAAACTTGCATACTTTACTTTCAAACATTTTCTATTTTTAAATAGGTTAAATGAAATAAAAGAATAAAAACATTTTTGTTCAAGGTTTCAAAATCACTAGTTTATAAAGGAAACGAAAATCATTTCATTTATAAACTTGTTTTATAATTGTGTTAGAAAAGTTTTTGAGTTGCTTAAAAAGTTCTCGAGATGTAGTGAAATACGTAAAAAGGTGACAGTTATATTGTCAAACTTTAAACCTCTCTTCTGACAAAAGTATTGGGTCTATACTCTCCAGATAGCGGCAACTTCATATTATTTAATAATTAAAATCTGTCAAAAAAAGGTATGTTTATACATAGAAAGGACGTTTCTGTGTCGTATTTTGTAAATTAAATAATTATTAAGTAATAATTAGCATAATTAAGGTAAACTTTTTAAACTTGGGCATTTAGCACATGAAAATCTGATAATGTAATCAGATTAAAAGATATTCAGAATGAAAGATACATCTTTTTTGAATCATAGCAAACAAAAACAATGTTATGATAAAAAGCTTTCTTACTTAGCTTTTTTAGAAATTTTAAATTGCTTTTAATATTATTTTTTATAATTCATTTTCGATAATAAGTAAATTATACGTTGAGCCTGTTTAAATTTTAGTTTGAAGTTATTATAGTTTAAAAGTTTTCTTGAAATCTAATTATGGATTGTGGAAGTAACAAATCGAATAATTTCTGAGGTATCAATGAAACAAAATTGAAACATTATATTCTTATAGAAACGAAGATTTCTCGAGATGTTTTTTTTTCTCCATCAAATTTGTTTGAAATGGAAAATTAACTTCTCACATAATTTTGTATGGTTTCCGATTTCTAAAAATTAAAAAAAGAAAATTCTATTTCAATAAATACACTCATGCATATAAATTAAGGATAATTCGAACTCTGAAGTAAAAATTATCCCACGCATCTTCAGGAGCAAATGATAGGAATTTTTCGTATGCTGATTATCAGGTATTTTATGCTTTTTTATTAAGGTACAGCCGATCCAATTTTGCGTTTGCGGCTACTAATCTTCAACTCCCAGTAATTTTAAATCTAATCCAGAAAGCAAGTATTGTGAGAAATTTGGCTTCGTGGAAGACTTTTTGGTGCAGCTAAACTGCCTTTGCGTTACATGGAGGGGAAAACCACGGAAAACTCTTATGGTTAACCCGAAGGCAAGGGGTCTCTAGCTCCGTCTACCACTGAGGATATTGTACGTTAACACTGTAGTCGGCTCGATCCGGGTGCGGAATTCTTATCGAACAATCATATATATTACAACCGTCTTCGAGCAGCCGATCAAATTTTCAGTTTACGGCTGCCAATGTTCAACTCCGTATACTTGTAATTTTGAACCCAATCCAGAAGGC